AAGCTGAAAAACCTGAACCAGAACAAAAAGCTGAAAGGAGCAGTAAAAGCAGCACAAAGTGTTTTTCTGTGAGGAAAACGGGTGAAAATGAAAAATATTTCACAAAGTAAAAACGGAACAAAGTCGGAGCAGGAATGTTCTGAACGAGCCGAACGTTTTGATGCATGAAATGTTGAAATAGAACAATAATTATAGAACGAGTTAGAAAAACGCACCTCGAAAGTGAGAGCGATGTAGAAACGTTGTCCATTGCACTCCCAGGAAATAAAGATTACACGGTTTGACCTACAGCTCTGTCATGAAAGGTGGCGGGTGATATGCATTTAATTTATCTCCCTGTGCTGCCTCCCCCTCCCCATCATCTGGCTCGACGTGCTCCTCGTCCTCCATCTTTCTGTCCTCCGTTTATTTTAGTTCTAGTCTCCGTCTCGACGCTCCAGCTGGCAGGCGAAGCAGACATTTCTGTGCCAGACGCTCGTCCCTCCGAGTGAATCTTATGTTTTTAGTCACAACGAACGAGTTTGGGGGGGCAGCTGGGATATCAATAACATTTTGCATTTTTAATATTTCCATGACGAGTTGGGCTGAGATGGGCAGATTAATAAACTGGACCTGGCTTCTGCAGATATTAACTCTGACGAGTCGTTTCTGCTCATTTTATCTTGATCAGAACCAACAACACAACTCGTTATATAAAAAACAAAACTTAATCAAACAACTTTACGCAGCAAAATTTCTTTGGCCCCATATGTTAGAATAAAATAAAATAAAGTAAGCTTGTGTTGTACCCTTTCTGATGAAATTTGAACTATAAACTATGCAGACGTTTGTGAGTTTTTTTCTACATTTGTAGGAAATTAATACAAAGTTTCAAATATTAAACAGAATAAACAAAAATAAGAAATTTGTTTTGTCTTCTAATAAAAGCAGAACTCTTCATGTACTTTAACTTTTATTCATATTGTTTTAAATAAAACTTTTTAAATCTTGACTTTTAATTGTGTAAATGCTGAGTCAGCATTTCTTTTGTCCTGTTTATAGTTTCTTCTGTACGTTGGGCTAATTTCTTTAGCTGCTTTAGCCAATCAGGCATCAAAGCGTTCAGCTCGTTCAAGACATTACGGCTGTGACCTTTTGCTGTTGTTCAAATTTGTTTGCTTTTTAAACCCTTCTTTAGCAAACGTCAATCATGTTTAGCTTTCAGCTACTGTTCTGATGGTTTTAGCTTTCAGCTACTGCTTTGATAGATTTTGTTTTTTAGTTGGCTTTTTGTTACTTTTAGCTATTAGCTGGACTTTTACTACTTTCAGCTTTTAATTACCATTCTGCTACCTTTTTAGTTTTGTAGCTTCAATTCTGCTTTTCTTTTAGCTAGCTATTTGCTACTTTTATCTTTTAGCTATTGTTTGCTCAAATTAGGCGTCTATCAAAATTTTTTTGATGGTATTAACTAGCATTTAGCTTTCAGGTACTATGCTCGTGGTTTTAGCTCTTAGCTTTCTTTTGCTACTTTGGCTATTAAGGAACTACTTTATTCATTCATTAACTTTAACTTTTAATTACCGTTCTGCTACTTTTAACTCTTGTTCTGCAATTTTTTTTTTAACATTTAGCTAGCCATTTGTTACTTTTAGCAACTGTTTTGCTAATTTGATCTTTCAGGTATAGATCTACTAATTTTGGCTTTTAGCTATTTTAGCTTCTTAAACAAATTTCAGCAGTCATTCAGCATTCACACTGTTTTCTTTTTTTAAAGGAAACTCATACATATTTTCGTAGTTTTCATTTTAGTCAGATTGACGTCATATTTTCACATTTTTAAGAATCATCTGTCTATATATCTATCTAATCTATCTATCCTAACAAAGTTGACAGGCCACTGAACCACCACCAGGGCTTAATTTGTAAACCAATTGATGCCGGAACACAAATAACGAGCAGGTCGGCTGGGGAGGGGGGTCTAGGGGTCCTCCCCCAGAAAATTTAGAATACAGTAGATACAATTTCCTGCATTTTGGTCATTTTAATGTGTTGTTAAACATCTATGTTTACCTACATTTGTAAACACTCTGCTCTTGTCAAGCACCCCCCCCCCCCACACACACACACACACGACGGTTCCAAGCCGACTCGTCTCCGCTGAATTCACCATCCTGTTGTCTGACTCCACATGTGAAACCTCCAGGCGCCTCCTCCGTCTGTTCGTGGCGGCTGCCTGGGGGCTCCTGCGTACGTACGACTGCCTGGTTAGCTCGGCCCTCGCCCCCACCACTCGTTCAGGAGCGGAGATTTTTCTTAAGGTTAGAAGCGGAGGTGCTACTTGAAGAGACAGATCGTATGTGATATTAAGAAGCTCGTGACTGTTGTGTTTAAAATTAGTGTTTATGTAATTATTTACAGTTTACATATCCAATTATTCATTCAAGGCAGTCATATTTGTTCAAAACTTTATTAATAGTAAACCTGAGCGTTACTGGATCCAAGCAAACAGTTACCGGGACGCACCCCGTCAAAATAAGAGAGTTCCCAGATCCTGTTCTGGTAGGATCCAGCTCAAATTAAGCACTAACTACCACCAAAAGTATTTTTAGCATCTTCATTCAACTGCTAAAACATGCCTTTTCTTATCTGTGCTTTAAATATCAGTCATGTTAAATTTAGTCAAAGCTCTCTGCAGAGGAGCCACGTGGCCCCCAAGCTGCAGGTTGCAGGCCCGTGGACCAGACTGACAGAATTTAGTGAAGTGACCCAGCAGAGATGGACAGATTGTCCGATCACAGGTGGAAGTCAGAAAACTAGATTGAGTGCAGACGCTTGTTGTTTCGGACCTTGTTGAAAGTGAAATGTGTCTTCACTCCGGTTGATTGACAGATGGAAGACACACGAGGAGCAGTTTGTGAAGCGGCTGCCACTCGGTGACGCTTCACAGAACCACACACATCAGATGATCAATAGTCCTGCTTCTGTTGGACACGGACAGAACCAGGTTTACAAGGCGGACACGCCTGAATGAAACCACCTGGAGAAGCTGCTTTATTCTGAAGGGTTTCTGCTTTATTCTGAAGGGTTTCTGCT